TCACTGCATTAAACAATCATCAAGGTTCCAAGCACACAGGAAGCTCATTCTCTGAAAGAAGCATCTTCAGTTTAGTGTTGGTTTTGTTTTGTGTGTTGGTGTATGTGTGTGTGTTAGGAGGAAAGGGTCAGATTGAAAAAAAAAAAGATGAAAGATTTCTTTTAGCTCTAATATTCTCCAACTTTCAGAAATTGATAATCTGGATAAAGAATGGCTTGGGGCCAATTCAAATTAAAACTCCTTTGACCCCTCTCATCCTGTCCATTGCTTATCACCTCCTACCTCCTTGAAACCAACAAGGCAAGAGTAGAGAGTGGAAACAGTACCATATAGAGAGATTTTGGCATGTTTTTGTGTAGGAGATCGCACAAAAGTGCACATCAGTCAAAGAATTCTCAGCAAGTGAATGCACCCATGTAACCACTGCGTTAACAAATTGAGAAAGACGACGTTGGTCTGCACTTTGTCTCACTTCTTCATTCCTTCTCCTTACTTTTCACACAACCTAAGCCTTCACGTTTACACAATATTTATTATATACAACTGAATTACATTCATGTTTTCTGTACTGAACTTTTTACACCACACACCAACATCTTAAGCAGTTCTAAGCTAACTCCAATCATGCTTCAATATCTCAACCAATGTGAGCACTGTATTTAAAATAGTCATATTGTATGACCAAAAAGGTAAGAATCTACTCTTGCTAGATAAGAAAGTTTTATATATACATAGCTTTTAAAAAGTGAAACATGTACATAGTTTTTTTAAAATGTTAAGTTAAAGAGGCATACAGTGAAAAGTCTCAACACCTCCCAGAAACACTAGTGTATTAGGCCATGCCACAGCTTCCCTCCATCCTAGTAGACATGTTTGCATCTCTTGACCTGACCCCTTTGGCTTTTATACTGAAAGGATTATGTTTGTGTTATATGATGGTGTTTGTCTATTGCTATATAATCTATTTTATGATTTTCCTCTGCTCTGCTCTGCTCTGCTCTGCTCTGTATCAGAGGAGAGGTCAAATCCTATAAACTACATGTCCCGGGCTCCTTTACCTCCTTGGCTCCAGTTAGGTTCAGCAAATGGGAGGTGCTGCTGAGAGCTGGGAGAATGGGAGGAAGAGATAAGTCAGGGTGTTTCTTCCATTCTTTCTGCTTTGTGGCATCTTTAGCAGCATGGCAGTATCTCTTCTGTGGTTCCAGATCCCACTCGCAGCTCCTCTGTCTATGGTCCAAGTATCACCTTGGCACCCCCTGAGGGCATCCCTTACTGGTTCTCCAGGTTAAGTTCCCTTCTTTGACCTACCTGGAAGTTAGTCACATGGAGAGGCCCAGGGAGAGACAAGCTCTGCCAGCCCCAGCTGTTACAGTCACCCTTGGTGAGGAGCCAGACATGTGAATGAAGAAGCCATCTTGAATGACCAGCTAGTGAGATGACTAGATTAAGTGAGGATCACTTTTTTTAAAAGTCCTATGTTTTTCATATGACACAATTATTTTTAGTAATAATTATGAAATAAAATTAATAATGACCAGAAGAGAAATTCAAAGTGTAAAAAATATTCTCCTATTAAAAAACAACAAATAAGAAAAATAGACATAGAATAATACTATAGTACAAAAGAGCTAGAAGTTAATATTTTTAAATTAATGTTTTTAAAATATATATTTCTATTGATTTCAGAGAGGAAGGGAGAGGGAGAGATAGAAGCATCAATGATGAGAGAGAATCATTGATCTCTTGCTTCCAGCATGCCCCACCCTGGGGATTGAGACCACAACCTGGGCATATGCCTTGACCAGGAATTGAACCATTTCCTCCTGGTTCATAGGTCAACACTCAACCACTGAGCCACGATGGCTGGGCAAATTTAATGTGTTGTTTTTTTTTAAAGGAAAATATATCTACATATTGGACTGTTGTGATAAATTGGTCTAGTATCTGTAAGTAATAAAGTACCTTTTCTGTTTTTAAGTCTTAAGCTTTGCAGTGACTTCACTGAAATGAATCTGCTTCACATATTAATGTTTAATAGATGGGAGAGCCAGGTTTGCCAGTTATCTTTGTACATAGTTGATTGCAGAACATTTTAAGCTTTTAATTTCTAAAGCTTCTTTTAAATGCCCAACAGATGTACAATAATTAGAAAAAAACTTTAACATAATAAGTATGGCAGAGATTCATAAAAATGTCCTTTAACAACAAACTCCAGAAATTGTAGTATTGTCTACATCTTTGTTCCCTTGGGAACAATCATAGTAACTTTCAAATATCTCCACTTAAATATCTCCAGTTAAAATTTTCCCACTGAAATGTCCTCATCAGAAAATGTATCATACATTTCTATTATATATGATGAATACTTCTAAAGTTGCTCTTATCTTCTAAAATCAGAGAAGATGGCTGATATCATTCAGATGAATGATAATAAACGTTGCCATTATTTGATGAAAAAGATCAAGACATTCAAATACTGCTCTCTTGACTTCTTCTAGCAGTATAAGGCCAGCATCTTTTGTTGTTTTTTCCTGGCATTTTTTGAAATTTAATTGCTTTCTCTGAATAAACAACTATTTCCTTATATTTTTTTTCTAGTTAATTGCCTTCTCCACAGTTTCTACATACTGTTCCTTTGATTGGAATCTGATATAATAGAATTTTATGTAAATAATTTTTCTAGTCACTAATAATTTACTAAAAAGTTACAATTTAGGTAACTATTAAAATGTATTACTGATGTAGCATTATATTTTATTAGTTCTTCCTTTAACTTTAACCCAATTAACAATTTAAAAAAAGAAATTTGAATTTTGAAGATATTCAAAGTCAGTAAGATATTTAATGTATGAATTAAAAATTTTTACTTATTGAACACAATATTATGCCTCATAAATTTGTCCTCTGTTTCATAGTGCAAATAATAAACATAAATAGAAACTCTAAGTGATCACATAGAATGACAGAACTGAAGAAACTGAACCTATCTCTTTGTATTTATGATCACTCTGCTGTCCTTATTTCCAACCTATTGTTTAAAGGATAACTGGTTCCATGGGCATTGAAGGCCCAAACTATGCCTGAAGAAACATGAATGATTCCAGCACTAAAGCACTTACTTGGAAATGAATATATACAGCTGAGACTGTGAGTGTTATAGGCCTATGGTATAAAACTAAGGATTCTTTCTTTTTATTTAAGTATAATTGGTATACAATATTTTTTTTAGTTTCAGGTGTACAGTATAAAGACTTGACATTTATATACCTTAAAATGTAATCACCACTGTCTTGTAATCATATGTCACCATGCAAACCTATCTCAATATAATTGGGGTTCTTTAAATTAATTTCCATGTAGAATACAATAAATATAAAGGTAGGTAATAAAAAAAATGCTAATTTGAAATAGATAGGTAGATAAATAAATGACCAAAACATCAATAATTGCAACAACAAAAGATTTATACTAAACTGTTTTGTGGGGAGGAGAAAAAAAAGGAACTGAGATACTTAATGGTATCACTAAGCCTACCTCTAGATTTCTGGTATGATTTAACAAAATAAATAATAGCTTAAACTGTTATTAATGGGGTATTTTCTTACTTGCAGCAATTGCTTTCTGATACCCAGTGAGCATTTTCAACCTTTAATCTCACATATTTCATCTTTTGACACTGTTCGCCATTCTCGTCTCAAAATGTTCTCTCCCCTTAGCTTCCATGGCACCTTTGTGACTAAATATACCAGTTGCTATTATTGTTTTGGTTAAATGTTTGATCTCTCTACTTTGTAAGCTCTATAAAGGCAAGGACCATGTCTGTTCACTGCTTTCCAGTGCCTGGCCTGCAGTGTAGACTAATGAACATGTTACCAAGGAAAGTAGTTACTTATAAAACTTCCAATGAAGAGAAGGCGTTAGTAGGTGATTGTGATTTGTGCTTGGTTCGTGGCAGAGCTGGGAAAAGCAAATCATCTTTCAGTCCACCTTGCCATCTCGCTCCGTGACATGCTAATATTCACAAAATCATACCTGGGTACAATATAATTAAATAATGTGTTTCCCTTTTATATTCCCTGGCATCTGTAAACTACTGGCCTAAAGATTCACTGATGGCAGAGAGATAAATGAAGACAGGTTGATCACTTTAATTTTTATATGAAGATCATCAGACGAAAGTATAATTAATTGAACTTTTGGTTCCCTGCTTTTTTGAGACCTTGGTTAAAGGATGCTATCTGTGTAATTGAAACTTTCTTCTCTTCATAGCTGCTGTGTTCCCTAATGTCAAACTTTCTTTTTGCTCAATTCAAGTATGCACAAAGTCCTCGCACTAAAATTCCCAAATCTAATCTGTCTCCTATTCAATGTCCCACACAGTTTACTTTAAAATATTTTTTTTGTCACCTTCCCTATCTGTAGAAAAGGATAAAGAAAGGTTAGTTAGGATGTGACCATTAGTAACACAACATCTATAAACGTTTTGAGAATGTGTGGACTGGAAATGCTTGCGCAGTTCCAAGAAGCTTCTGAGTTCAAGAGAAGCAAGTGTCCATCATTCGCCATCATATCCTTGAGAACCCTTTTCTAAGCTGTAGACACGGCTCCCCCACACACTAGGGTTTCCCTTTTATATAAAATTCAGATTTATGTGGGAGAAAATATGGTTAACTTGGCTCATCTCTCCATTGCCAAGTTGTTTGTAGGTCCTTGGTCAAACCTAGCCAGGACCACTGGCTGAGTGGCAGTGGGGTGCTGGGGTGACCTGCAAAACCTAACCGCAACTAGCACACAACAAAGAAGGAATGGGGGCAACTTCTGAATGCAATCAGGATGCAAATTTCTTTTATATACGGTAGATAGGATTTCGTTAAATGTTTAATATTCATCTAAACATTCCATTCTTTTATTGCTCTGTTTTAGTGCTATATTAACTGTATAGATGAATTCAATGCTGTACTTTCATTATTGCCTCTTGTTATTATAGTGTTTTGTTAAAGAAAAAAAAAAAAAGAACCTAGAAGAGTCTATCTTGCAGAAGAGGAATCCAGAGATAGTAAGTGGATATTCCAAGGTTACAGGGCTACAGAAAGGCAGAAAATGAGAATAGGGATCTCTTGATTCCCGTTCAACATCATTAACCAGCACCTAACACCAGAACTAAGATATAAGGTCTGGATAATTCTTGATAATTAGGAAATGTTTGTTACCTTTTCTTATTTAAAAGGACATTCCAAAGAGAAATGAATGACATGTTGAGGTGTTCTAATATATAATTACTGTTATGAAACATTTAAAATACAAAGTTGACACCTTTTCAAACTTGCAAGAAATTATTTGAAAACATGTAATAATTACAAAATCTTATCATGCTTCATATTCAGCTTTTTTGAATATCTAAGGAAAGTTCAATAAATGTATAACAAGTATATAACAAATTATAAACAATCAACTACCTTTTATAAAAAAAAAAATGTGACCTACTCAGTCAACTAAAGCCAAATAATTTCAAGAAGTATATCAAAGACACATTTCTAAATGAATTTTTTTCCTTGCTGTACACAACTCTTAAGCTCGTTTGACCTGATTTGTCAAATACTTTGAGAAATGATATTCATTACAGCACAGAGTGATGTCAACTTGCATTAATTCTTTCCCAAAGAGAGGTGTTCAGTATTCAAACTGTGTTTGTACTGGCACAACCTATTTATATTTCAGCTTCATTTCAGAAGGTTTATAAGTACCACTTCCTTTGAAAGGCTGTTCTTTTTTATTCAATTTATCTTCTAAAACAAGCTTTGAAAGGACGATAATAATGTACCATAAAGCTGCTTTCAGTGAAGTTATTAAGAAAATAAATATTTCAGAGAATTGAATAAAGTGTTATATATCAATATTAAATTATACTATTTTCACCAAAGATGTATTATGAGAAATTAAAACTATTCCTTATCAACTAAGAAAATATTTCCCAATGCAGTAAATCCATTAACAGTATTGCATTTGTTTTTATATAAAACATAATTTATTAATTTGTTTTCATCTAATAAGAACCATATGTATATGTTCCTAAAATTCTTCTAGTTCTTTAATTCTGTTGTAACAATGATTGTATGTTAATTAGCAAATGCCAAGATGTTTTTCTGATTGAATTTCGTAAGAAACAATATGGGATAATAAAAATGGTCATTTCTAATTTCTTCATTTGAAACAACAATGGCAAGCTCTAATCAATTATTCTATCTTGCTGAGGAAACAGGAGGAAGCTTTTAAGATTCTAAATCTGGATTTTGATGATTTTGAAATGAATTCTTTGTTTCCTGTTTACCCACAAATCAATTATAATTTTGAGTTCAGTCATGTAGCAACCATAATTCAGTTAGCTGCTGAAGGTCTTTTTCAAATTTTGTCCTTTCCACCTTTTTTCTGAAGTCGGTTTCTGGTTGGTTCCGTCAATACCAAGGGTTCTTGGATGATGATTGCTGGGTAGTGTTTGCCTAGTAGCTCAACTTCCACTTGTTGTCCTACCTTACTGAGCTCTACAGGGACGTATGCGAAGGCCAGGCTCTTCTGGATGCTGTAACTGTAGCTTCCAGAGGTCGTGTTTCCAACCACCTGAAAAACAAGACCTAGCGATCTTAGCAGCTGGGTCACAGCTTTGCACAACCCCCTCCCGGTGGAAACACATTATAGATTCAACTCCCAATCTGAAAGCTTTATGATATGCCGTCTGCGGGTGTAACACCAGAAGGAGAACGTTGCTTTTTTTGAGAAAAATTAATTAAGAAAATGCACAAATTATGAAAAGTAATTTTCAAAGTATATGTCTATATTACTTTGACATTTTTCATTTTTAAATAATTACAACTAGTTTTTTAGTGCCTGGCATCATTTTGCTCATTTCATGCCAAGAAATCTAATAGGAAGAAGAATAAAATATTTTCATTTAAACTTTAAAAAAATTATCTTCTATTTTCCAACAGTATGGTAATAATAAATAAATGGGAGAAAATCTAAAAACCCAAATGCAAACTTAGTTAACTATCCCTGAGGGGGTTCAGAAAATGTACTCAAAATGGTGCTCAATTAAACTATTTATTAATATACTAGAGACCCAGTGCACGAATTTGTGCATGGGTGGGGTCCAGCCAGCTCAGCCCCAATTGGGGCGAATTGGGGCTGGGCTGTCAGGAGGAGGAGATGGCAGGAGGTTGGCTAACTCTGATGGGGCCCCATTAGGGCTGGGCTGGCTGGAGGGAAGGGGCTGCAGGTGATTGTCTGTCAGGGCCTGCCCCTGATCAGGGTTGTGGGCAGGGCCAGCCATGGGGAGGGGCTGTGGGCAGTGGGCTGGCTGGCCCTAACCCCTGATCTGCCTATTTGCTGGCCATAGTAGGCATGATAGCAACCTGTCATTACAGTCATTAAGGTGTTACAGTCTCTGGCTTTTTATATATATATAGATAGATAGGTAATGTGTTGCTCAATGGTTAGAGCATTGGCACATGGATTAAAGGGTTTGGGGTTTGAGTCCAGTCAAAGGTACATACCTTGTTTGCAGGCTTGATCCCCAGCCCCAATCAGGGCACTTTGGGAGGCAACCAATCAATGTGTCTCTCTTACATTGATATTTCTCTATCTCTTCCCCTCCTTCCACTCGCTCTAAAAATCAATGGAAAAAATATCCTCAGGTGAGGATTAATAAAAAAAACAAAAAACAAATAAATATATATAGTCAATGGAAAGTGAACATTCCTTATGACTACAGCTAGCATTTAACAATTCCAGGCAATTGTGAGGCACTTAAATAAATGTTAACTTTTACCCTCTCTAGCTCTACTCTGTACATTCTAGAGAATTAACAGAGGCCTAGTTCCAGCCTTGTCAAGGAATTAACACAGATACAAGAAAATATAACACGAAATCAAGATTGTCAACATAATGACGCCAGGATTTGTCCTACACTTTCAAGGCGGTGAAACTAGGTTGAGATGGAGGATGACAACTTTTCAGGGCGAATGGAAATACAGTGTTAGGCAGGAACAATCCAAATTAAGGAGGATGAAACAGGATAACTTGGGAAGGCAACAGAGAACAATACTGGACAAGGAATCAAACTCAGGAGAGGAAAACAAAGCTTTAAGCTACAAAAATAAAGAAATAAATCTATAAGACAAGCCTGATTAGAAAATAAGAAGATTAGTGGAAATCAGAGCTGAAGGGAAGGTTGAAAGGGAAGGGAAAGCAGATTAAAATGTAAATGCATATGTCAGGTTAAAATACCACATTTAAAAATGTATAAGGAGATAGGAGTCTATATTTATGAAGAAACCATTTTGTTTATGAAGACAACAAAAGCAAAACCTGGTGTATAGCCCTGCTCCACAAGACTTCTCCTAGCTGCACAGCTGCACCAATCCTCCCAGCCTCCCTGCCTAGCACAGAGGGCTGGCGACCCCAAACATTCATGGACATGCATCAGCCTGGTGGTCGTTCAGCTGCCTCCGCAAAGAACCCACTAGTCAACAGTCTTATGATAGTGTGTCTAGTCTTTTAGATGCTACACTTTATGACATTAAATATAAACTACTATCTCTGCAGCCCCAGTTGTTAATTATCTTGTTGAAATCCCAAATCAGAAGTTCTCCATATCATTTCCCAACTTGTTATGGTGAGAACTGGTTGGCTAAAAACAAACATCCATGTATTCATTCATTAGTAAAGGCTTCTCTCTTGCAAATTATTAACTGCCAAAGTATTGCTGAGATAACACGTTTGAAAATTGCTTTTCTCCTTTAGATCATAGATAAGTGATCTAAGACAGCGATCTGGATCAGGGAGGTTGGAGTTTTAAACATGGCTTTTTGAAAGTCTTTCTGGTAACTTTGGTTTTGCTTCCCAGTCTGTAAAACAGAGATCTGTGACTGGATTCTTGGGAAAGTTAACCTGACTTGCCTGGGCGACTTAGGAAAACAAGAAGAGGCCTTGACAAGTCTCTTATTTTTGGAGGATGCCTTATATTTCACTCAGAAGGAAACCTGTAAGTAGGTCTTATTTTCGGAGGATGTCTTGTTTTCAGGGAAACATCGTAAATAGCCAGGAAAAGACTTTTCTAGCATACATCTTATGTTGTTTCTACCTTAAAATCCTCCAAATTCAATTAAATTCATTGCTTGTTTCTTATCAGCAAATCCCAAGAACAACCTGCCCTCACCCTCTGCCTAGGACACCCTCACTCTCATACTCTTTTGAAATCGAATATTGGCCTTCTTTTTACCAATGTGAACAAGCCACATTTATTTTTACCCTTTTCTCATTCTTCTGAGACTTGAAGACGCCTCTAGCTGACGTAGAGAAGATAACATGGTAAATGGCCTTTGAAAGCGGTCACATAATTTAAACTGGATGCTATTTGTAGTGGGGGTTTTTTTGTTTGTTTTGTTTTGTTTTTTGATTTCTTTTGCTGTATTTTAGTTTATGAATAATGAAAAACACTTGCTAAATTCTCAAACTTCCTTCTTCATAAACTTCTTCAAAACTTACTTTCCTGCAAAGCTGCTTTTGTAACTAATGAAACCCCTTTTCATTCCCAACTTTGGGCCTTGATTTGTTTTCAGATAAACTTTATTTAAAATTATAATCCCTCTGTCTGGCACTGCCCATCTCCCGGCTGGACTTCACTTTCCCTCAGGGCACTAATCACTCTCTGACGTGCCACTTACTTAATTTATCATGTTCATTGTCTCTCTCTTTCCCCCGGAATCTAAACTCCACGGGGGCAGAGATTCTTGCCTGTTTTGTTCACCGCAGCATCCCTAGAATATTGCTGGCACCTAGTAAACACTTGATTAAAACTTGATAAGTATATGAATACATCTCTACCCTATCTCTCTAAATGGAAATATTTGCAAGAATGGAATAGCAAATATCAAAGGCTGTTAAGTCCAGACAAAGTCAGGAAATAAAAATGATTTCCTATCATTCTATAATAGAGTATGAAAGAGGATCAAAGAGGGTGGTCCATGACCCTAGTAAGCACCAAATTTAAGAGATATGTTATCAATAAAGGATCCTATAAGTAGATTAAGCAGATGACATACAGTAGGAAAGATGAACAGTAAAGCATACAAACTCAGTGCACAGACATGGCAAAGGAAGATTCAAAAACAGAAGTTGGGCTTCCCAAGGTTTCCTCTCCCTCCAGCTTTGAGATATAAGTAATATGTGATAATCTGTATATTTAGGGTAAGGTGTCCAGGTTTTTTGTTGTTTTTTTTTACTTTAATTTGGGTATCATATTTAAGGTGGCTAACAGTCTGGTTGAGACCAGAGGAAGAGCCTATTAGGAAAAGAGGGCTGACAAAGCCGTTTAGAACAGAAAGAGGAAGAAGCAGCAATGAGGAAAGAGCAGGAATGGTGCAAACAGAAGAACAAACTCGGCATATTTCTAGGTGAGGGGCTTAAGAAAGAGATTGAGATCTGAGAAAAGTCTGTTGGCTTCATAGTATCTAATAACATCCACCTGCTACTCGGATCACAAGAGTTGTGTTATAATTTGTACTGCAGAGAACACAGTGAGACATCAGCAGAGGCAGAAAAGAGAGTAAATTGAAGTAGTCAGCGTGGCTTACAAGACAGGATAAGCAATTCAAAGTCCAGCTATGCAGGAGGTAAGAAATCAGCTCCATCAATCACGAGCTGTGTAACCTCAGGCAACTGACTTCACCTCTCTGAGCTCCAAAGCCTCATCCAAATGATCAGCCTCGTTAAATCAAGCGGATCACATGTATCTGAGAAGGATGTGGTAAAACCAGATTGGGAGTACATAGAAGACAGTCAGCGCATAGTAGGAACTCTGTAGATGTTAGCTCTATGTCCAGCTGACCCACACCTCAGCTCATGGCCATTTCCTTAGTAATCCAAAGGCCGATATTTGACCCCACTGCCTTCCTCAGTGCTCTTTTTGTTTTGAAAAGATGGGGGAAATGGAAACAAAAAAAATGAGAAAAAAAATCCAGACAGCGGCTCTCTTAGATGTGGGTATTGGCCAAGCAGACACTGCTCAATACGGACCAGCTGTTTAGGTGAAGGCCCTGTGTCTGCCCTTTGGTCTAAGCTGAGTGCCCTCCATCTGCCTGGTAACACCAGCACATCTGGAGGCAAACTGGGTTTTACAAACAGTCATCGTAGTGGTGGACACGAAGTTTCCCGGTGAGTTACCCAATTTTACTGAAGAAAGGATGAAATGTAACATTCCAAAGTGAGAAGAAGGTAATTTTACTCTTCCCGAAGAGCCAAGTGGTTTCTCCTTTCACCTTACTTTCTAAGGTTCTACCTTCTACTGTCATAGAAGCTTTCATTGGAAATTTCTTTCTGCTAATGTGATAAGGTTACAGTTGCCTTCTTCTGAAAGAAGCTAAGTCAGAAGGCCAAATTCTTTATATAAAATCTATCTCCTGCCTTCACAAAAGGGATGTGGCGAACGAGTAGATGACTTTATCCTCTAAAATACCTTCCTCATTGTCTAACGCATTTCACGTTCTTGGGTTTATTTTCTTTAAACGAAGCATATGAATTTTATGTTTTCAAAAATGCGTAGCACTTTGTTTTTCTTTTAGTTAATTGATTTGTTTCTCGAATGTCAGCTGAGAAATCCAGTGAGAAATCCTCAGAGCAATAAATAAAGAGCAAAAGCTCTAACAGGAAACAGACAAGGAGAGTTTCCCTTGCGGAAAAGCCACAGGGCCCCTGCACCGAGGGCCTCCGCTCTCACCTTGCCCTTGTGCCAGATGCTTTCGTTTCCCTCCGGATCCACGTCGTCCGTGGCCAAGGTGAGGCAGACCAGCCTCCGTTTCAGCCCCTCGGCTTTAATCTGTTTCAGTGCTTGCTTTCCTATGAAGTCTGCGGGCTGCAGAAATCCAAGATAATGATGATGAATGAATGCTCAGACGCGGTGACAAGGTTAGAGATGCAAGCATTTAAATTTGTCTTTGCTATTTTCTCGCCAATTACACATTCAATAAAAATACAGATTGGATCAAATGTCTAGACAAATATTTTTCAGTCCTCAAACGACAATATCAGCCACCTTATTCCTCCTGACTAAGTTAGACGTAAGGGTAATAACTTGTGATAACAATTTCACCAGGACCACGAGGCAGAGAAACGGAAGGTGTGCTATTGCAATGGTGGGTTATGAAAGTGACTCCTGTACCTAGTGGCTCTGGATGGTGGGCCCGGCTGGCAGTGAGCAAAGCCCTCCTCAGTGTCTGCATGCAGTGAGCCTTTCACAAGAAGGAAATTCACTTTTCGAAATGTGATGCCAAAAACAACTGCAAAGTGCCTCACGTCTTTCCCTTCTTTGGAATAATGGTCTGGGGAACGTAATAACCTATTGGGCTGTACTCATTAATTCATCTGGGAAATTTGTCAGACACAAAATTAGTCAGACGCAGACATTTTGATCAAAGAGCTTATTCTCTAACACTGAGCTTTTCAACCTTTTGTTTCTCCCTCCACGCAACGCATGACAGATGGCATTCCTATTCCTGGCACCTCCCTCTGGGCACACTCAGGGTTGTTCCCGATGCAAGGCGAGTGAGTGAGAGTGACACTGTTCCAGGAGTAACCTTTAGTCCAATCTTATATGTGAAAAAAAAAAAAAGAGTAGGAATCATGCAAACTTCAGGACTTTCACATCTATTCATAACACCTTACAACAAACAGGTGAGCATTGACTCCCCTGTGGGGACACTTAGCAAATACAGGAGATACAATTCTACCCAACCAGAATGCCAGGTAAGTGTGAGAAACCAGTCAGGGGCTAAGAGCAGTAAGAGTGCAAAGGACGGAACGCGGGGGTGAAGAGTCCACAGTAAGTGTGCTTCAACAAGCTTCAACTATTTAATGGGGGAAAGGGGGAGTTTGTGGCACACAAATCACATCTCTATGGATGAGCTTTAATTAGAGTTACAATGTGGAAAATAAAATTCTCAAAACAACTCTCATATAGAGACTAACTACTCAAAAGAAAAGAAAAGAAAAGAAAAGACAGAGAACAAGAACTTAAATTTTTCCATTGGCCAAGAAGAGAGGAAAACATTTCATGCCAAAAATGTCTTCTGCACTCTTACATTTAAGATTTGAAGAGAGCTGTATAAATCCTAAACCCAACATTTAGGATTTATACAGCTCTTCCTGCATACGCATCATTTGGGGTTGGGTGCAAAAGTCCCTTTAACCTCTTGGTTAAGTAGTGGCAGGGGTCCTCACACACTCTGCCTGAGACCCCAGTTCCACCCTGTACTAAGAACTTCTAGGAAAACTTCTAGGACAGGACAACAAATATGATTTCTATGGATATTGCAGCTTTAAAATTGCTGACCTTCCCTGGAAGCTAAAGAAAGTTTCCATTGGCCAAGGTTAAAAATAATTCAAAATAAAAGTCCAATTCTTTCCCCTTCCCCAGTATGATCCAGACCGTGAGAACCAATCATAGAGCTTCATTATGAAACCAGAGAAGAAATCAAAGAATACTAGACCCCATGTTATTTAAGACAGGACTGCTAGGGAAAAAAACAAAACAAACCCATAGGAAAAGCTTGATTCGTTTGAATTCATGTGTAAGAAAAATTTATGATAAAAATTATAACAAACCAATGTTCATGACAGTTCAAACTTGGATATCTAAATACAGAAAGAACTTGATAACACCAGCAACACTTTTTTTTCTATCTTTTTAAAAGAAGACTTACATGACAAGGTGTGCTTTTTAGAGTTCCTATATGGCCTCACACTTTGTGTGGAAAAGCTCTTACAATAATAAGAGAGGCCAATACATACTAATAGTATGACTTATGGAGTGTCAGGAGATGGAGGAGGAGGCGGGAAAGGAGGAAGAAGAGAAGGAGGAGGTGAAAGAGGAGGAGGAGGAGGAGGAGGAAAAGGAGAATTGTTTCTTTGTCTCCTGTTATGAAATCAGAATCTTTACTGTTAGAGATTCATTTAGATCTTAAAAGTTCAGGGTCTTCCTGAGTCCCTAGTAAATAATTTTATTTTAATTATTTATTCAGCAGTTATTATTGCCCTGCTATGTTTCATACACTGTGTCAGGCACGGGCTGTTTGGAGCTAAATAGAACATGGTCTCATGGTTTCTGGAAGGCCCTGCTAAGATGTGACCTCTTCCTTCCACGTCACAACAGGTCAGGTCTTGAAATTATTTGCATCTCCTTGGTTTTTAAAAAATGTATCTTTATTGTTGAAAGTTTACTGATGTCCCTCCTTTTTTGTTTCAATACATCAGAGGAAAGGAGAACAGTCTGAGGTTATTGGAAACATGGTAGGACAGGATACATTATAGCATACAAATTGGCTATACCAGTTTGAAACATGACTCAATGTTGGTTCTGTTTGTTCAGTGGGAGTGTAAAAATCACAGCATTTTATAAATTTAAGACAAGAATGTCTAATGTGTGAAGGCAGAAATGCAAACAAGCAGATGCTATGAGAGGGGTCTGTACAGCGGGGGCTTGGGAGAGAGTGTGATCGCCCGGCTGGCATGGCTCAGTGGTTGAGCGTTGAACCAGGAGGTCACAGTTAGATTCCCAGTCAGGACACATGCTCAGGTTGTGACTTAATCCCCAGTGTGGGGTGTGCAGGAGGCAGCCAATCAATGATTCTCTCTCATCATTGATGTTTCTATCTCTCTTTCCCTTCCTCTCTGAAATCAATTAAAATATATATATATATATATATATATATATATATATATATATATATATATATATATATATGAGTATGATCAATTCTGGGGTGGGAGACTGGGGCCAGGGCAGCCTTCTGTCAGCAAGTTTTGTAGAAGAAGAAGTTTGAACTGAATTGTTAAAGACGAGATTTCATAATGGGTATTATATACATAGCCTTTCCTAAAAGTCCTTGCACTTACGTTATAATTTGATCTTTATAAGAACCCATAGATGGTGGATTTGGGATCTAAGTGAATGAACTTGGCCAAAGAAATCAACAAAGTGGTTAAGAATGAAGCTGCCAGGAGTTCCAGCTGTGTTATTTTCATCTACTGTGAGGGGCCTCCACCCTGCCACATAAGCCAGTATCTGCTACACCTTAGGGGCGGGGGGGGGGGGGGGGGGGGGGACTGTGAGAAAGTTGGCCACAACCAGAGCTTTCAGAAATGGGTCCTTTTGGGGGTGCTGGATGAGAGCTGTTGGGGCAGGTGCTAAGGGGTTGACGGGAATGAGATGCACTGGAAGGGAGTGTAACTCAATTTTTGCCAAATACATAATTTTACCCAAGTCTAAGCAGGGACATACGGTATCAACTAATCACAAAAAATAGGAAAAGGGGAGACAACCCCAGAATACTACTTTTATAAGAGAAAAATTAAATAAGCAGTAAAAAAAGAAATAATATTAGTAATAGTTACAATTTATTAGGCACTTGCGATGTGCTAGACACTGTGCTAGTTGTACCCTGAGGGTTGTACATTCACAAGCTCCTTGAATCCTCATGACGTTCCTATGACAGAGACAATTTTACCCCAGTTTATGGGAGAGAAAGGCCCAGCAAAGTCTACACTCAGTTACATGGCAGCGTAAGTCAGCACCTTTAGATTTTATCCATATATATTTTATTAATGACTGTACCTGGAGACTATCATTGGCAGACACAGCTGATATAAATACTCAAAAGAATATTTCTGTTAAATTATTCCAAGGTAGCCCAAACCTGTTTTGAAATATATTCACTACCCAACAATATTTTTGTACCACATGCAAGGATTTGAAAATACCCTGAAGGTTAATACTAATGAAATCTGACACCTACAACTACATATCCCTGAAATAAGAAGTGATCTGGTCAACAATAGTATTCTAAGAAAGGATGAAAACAATACTGCAACAAACAACAGAAACCTAATTAAATATAAGGAACACACATGTATAACACAGAGAAGAGGGACACCTGCCTCTCGAGACAAGTCTCCCTCCCAAGCTAACCTGGTGTCCAATGGGAAGACTTAAAGTTGGGCAGTGGCATCTCATTCTCATTTTACGGGGCTTTCCTCCCAAGGAAATTCTTAATTATGAGTGACAGAGGAAAATATGTCTGAAAGTAAGTGCTGTGTTTGAAACTGGTGCTTTCAAGATGACCTGAGAACAGAAATACATTTCTTTAATGAGTCACTGCCAAATTAATTATATGAGTAGTTATTCATGTCTTTGCGAAACAAATTTCTAGGGCACTGAGAGTATAGCTTAAAAATAACTTTGGCTTATCTTTTTAATTTAATTTTAAAAAGTATATATTTTATTGATTTCAGAGAGGACAGAAGAGGGAGAGAGAGCTAAAACATCAATGATGAGAGAGACTCAGTGATCAGGTGCCTCCTGCACACGCCCTATTGGGGATGGAGCCCAAAATCAGGGCATGTGCCTTTACCAGGAATCGAACCATGACTTCCTGGTAGATAAGTTGTAGCTCAACCACTGAGCCACACCAGCTGGGCCTATATTTGTCTTTCTTGATACTAATTCTATACTGTCTTCATTACTGTAGCTTAAATCAGGTTGTGATAGTCCTAAGACTTTGTTTTTCTTTTTGAAAGTTTTTTTTTTAGCTATTTTATGTCCTTTGAATTTGACAAAGGAGGCAAGAACCTATAATGGGATAAAGATAATCTATTAAATAAAAGATGTTGGAAAAAATTAGATAGATACCTGAAGAAAAAAAAGCTAGGCCACCTTCTTACACCATATACAAGAATAAATTCAAAATGGATTTTGAAGGGCTGGTGATAAATCTTAGACTCAAAACCATAAAAATCCTAGAAGAAAACATAGCAGTAAAATCTCTGACCTTTCTCGTAGAAATATTTTTTCTGATATAT